CTCCTCACATCACCTGGTCGCCGGGAGGAGGAGGAGTCTTCTGTGCAGTGGTGCTGTTTTGTGCCTCAAAGCGAGCAAAGAAGACGTTCAGCTCGTTCAGCAGGGAGATGGTGCTGTCACAGGTGCGTGGTGCGTAGTCCGTAAACTAACGGAATACATAGTAAATATATTCCTACTGCTAAATTCTTTAAAAACAGAGGTGTTAATTATTGGACCAAAAACCTCTGCATGTAATAACCTAGAACAATTTCTAACACTTGATGGCTGCTTTGCCAGGTCTTTGTCATCAGTTAACAACCTAGGTGTCCTATTTGATAGCAATCTTTCATTTGAAAGCCACATTTCTAACATTTTCCATCTTAGATTATTAGGTTAGATTATTGTTAGATTATTCTGTGTGCTTAATAAACAAACTCCAGCTGGCCCAAAATGCAGCAGCTAGAGTTCTTACTAGAACCAGGACGTATGACCATTAATCCAGTTCTGTCAACACTGCACTGGCTCTGTCACCGTAGCCACCAAGATCCAGTCCATTCCAGTTCAGATGGTCACCGTAGTCACCCAGACCCAGTCTGTATCCAGACCAGATGGTGGATGAGCACCTACAACCACAACAGCCCTAAATGGCAGCGGAGACCATGACAACGAGATGAGCCCTAGAAACAGATAACCTGTGAAGACATCGTCAACTAGATGGCCATTGGCTCAAATCCTCAGCAAAGACCACGAGAACCAGATGAGTTCTCTTCACAGACCCCGTGGCAAGCTTTGACTCCTTCACCATGTGATGTAGGCTATTCTGACTTGTCATGCAGCCTGGAATTAAACCACGCCATGTTGGTTTTGTATGGCCAGAGGAGTGAATTGGCCCCTCGACAGAACCTGGTTTCTCTTTCTGCGTTTCTGTCACAGATGGAGTTTGGGTTCCTTACCACTGTCACCTTTTGGCTTGCTTACTTGGGGACATTTAATAATGGGCAATATTGTCTATTTGATTGCACAGACACTATTGGAAGAGAAGAGAACTGAGCTGGATGATGACGTCACTGAATCAATGATGAACTGACTTTTACTAAAAAAAAAAAAGACTGTTTACTATTGTCTAATTTTTAGAGATGCTTTAATCAGAATTTTACTTTGAAGTTAGTTAATAAAATTGAAGTTAGTTAATAAAAAATACAACTGTTTGTTGTTTTTCATGTGAGCTCAGGTACAATAAATAATGTTAGAAACAACTTTTAATTTTATTAATGTATTAGTAAATGAACTAAGATTAATAAATGATTTATAATTATTATTCGTTGTTAGTTTATGTTAACTAATGTTGCTAATGTCAATGAAGCCTTATTGTAAAGGGTTACCAAAAATGCAAAAAGAATCACAAAATTGTTCTGTTCTTAACTTACTCAACATGTTATTGATTTAATTGTTTATTAAGGTAAGCGAGTAAATATTTAATTATTGACCAGAGAAAATATTCCAAGCTCACGAAAACCACTCTGTACACATTTGCGTTAACTAGCAAGTTTAGAAAATGGATCAGCAGAAATTAAATCATAGGGTATCACAGGATGCAAAACTCAAGATCTGATTAGAAATGTTGCTCCAAAATAGTTATGTCAAACAACTAGTCATTAGTTTATTGTTAAAAATAGTCTAGCATCATTACAGCATAACATTCCTTAGTCTGTGTTAAAGCTTAACATGTTCAAATGTACATTTATATTAATATTGGGGGACTCACACAATGTGTGTCTCTTCAGATTTTTTTTTTCTTTTAAATGTGTCATCACTACCATAGTCCTGCTTTGATATAATGACCTGGAATGGTAATGGCTTAAATGGTGATTGCTGGTTATTAAATACAGTATTAGCAGGATATTATATCTAATAAAGTTAGTAAATGTGTGTCACTTCAGATTATTTTAAAATGTGTCTCTCGACAGAGGTAATATAGTTATTTGGAGGAGCATCTGGTACAGAAATGGTAACTAAGGAATGATGTAACATGAGACTACTCATTGTTGCTTGTTACCTTTGTCAGTTAACCCAAAGCAGGATGAAAACATGTTTATTTCATGACTCTGTGCTTTAATTAGGCCCAAGGGAGGCAATCTAACTGTCATAACGCTTCTAATAAGCACTAACTATTATTGTTTTGTATGTGTGGTCAATAAACATTTGCTCTCTGTATTGGCCCAATCACATCATATGTTAAATAAACAAATAAATTACATAATACAATTTTAACAAATAAATCACATAGTAACAATTCCTTCTTGATTTGTTTATATATTTATTTATTTATATTTATATGTTGATTTTCATTTATTGAATTATGTTTCTTGTATTTTATTTACACTGTTTATTTTTTCCCAATAAAGGGGCAATTACTGGTAATTACAATGTCTCCCAAACTTGTCTTGAATGCATCACATTTTGGATGTCCTTTTATTTATTTCCTGAAATCAGGGCTTTTTTAAAAGGTTATGTTTCATGTAGAATACACAGAAGTATTTAAATTAACATATGACACCATAAAGCACAGGAAGCATATACAGATGGAATATAGCACAAATACTAGTATTTTTAAGGAAATTAGCAGTCAGTGCCTAGATACTGGCTGTATACTTACATTACACACTAAATGAATACAATATTGAAGTTTGAAACTTCCACATCATTGCATTCTGTTTTTATTCACAATTTGTACAGTGTCCCACCTTTTTTGGAATCGGGTTTGTACTTTGCTGTGCTTCGCACATACATTTCAGAATGTAGCAAGGAACATTCACATCAGAAACAGCTTCTTAATACCACAGACACTGTTGTTGTGTATTTGCATATACAGTAAACATTAGATTCTAGCCTTATTATCTACCATAAAATTATTATAACTTGTCTTTTACTTTTTGATACCTGTCACAAACAAGGTGTATGTGCAATAGCTATGAGGGTTGAAAAGCATGCATGGATGTAAAGTGCAGAAATGTCATGGCACATTTAGCATATTGTTTGCTATGTGCTATTAACATCAATCTCAAATGGATGTATGAGGATTTTGACCAGCGAATGACAGAAATCTGTTTTGGGTTTTTTTGTCCGTCATTAGAACGGCCGCATCTGAGGCAGCAAAGTGACAGGGACATGACGTGTAGCCAAGTATGGTGTCCCATACTCGGAATCTGTGCTCTGCATTTAACCCATCCAAGTGCACACACACACACTGTGAACACACACCCGGAGCAGTGGGCAGCCATGTGCTGTGGCGCCGCGGGAGCAGCTGGGGGTTCTGTGCCTTGTTCAAAGGTCTCAGTGCAGTTGGTGGAAGAGAGCACTGGTCATTCACTCCCGCCACCTACAATCCCTGCTGGTACCAAGTATCGAACCCACGACCTTTGGGTTACAAGTCTTATAAAGTGCATCGCATTACACATTCATCAGCTTACAGGTTATAAAGTTTATTGTAGCTACTGTATATGGGTGCTCAGTTTTTCTTGTTGTTGAATACTTTTGGTAAAAACTTTGTGAAAGATGATGCACTATGTAGGATATTTAAAACAGTAAGTTATATTGCCTACAACTAGATGGCGGGCAAATGCTATACTAAGACTCTTCTCCACTCTTCAAATACAAAAAGAAAAAAAAGCCTTCATAGACTACTGTTTCAATACTGTTTCAATACAATACTGTTTCTTGATTGAAGAAAACGCTGTACTTATTCAAGCATCAGTTCTTTATTTACCCTTGTATTGCAAACAAGCAGAGATCTGTCTCCAAACTGTGCGCGGCACTTCATTCTGAATGGAGGCAGGGGTGGAGTTTTAAGGTTTCGCCGACCGTTTGATGATCCAATGGCGTTACGAGGTTTAGTCACAAGCTCTTTTAAATGCTTTTCATTAGTTAAATATTTGTAAAAACCCACAAAAAGACATAAAGATGACCAATAGCACTGATAAAAAAAAAGACGAAATATAGGGACAAGAAATTTCAGGCTGACAGCGACAATATGTAGCATGTATGTTTATTTATATATTTATTTATTTTAATTTGATAATATTCCACGGCACACTAGTCAAGTCAAGTCAAGTCACCTTTATTTATATAGCGCTTTTAACAATACAGATTGTGACAAAGCAACTGAACAGCATTAATTAGGAAAATAGTGTCAATAATGCAAAATGACAATAGTAAACACTCATTTTTCAGTTAAAGACAGTTCATCATTGAATTCAGTGATGTCAACATCCAGCTCAGTTTAAATAATATCTTTGCAATTATGTCAACGATAACGCTGGAAATGAAGTGTCCCCAACTAAGCAAGCCAGAGGCGACAGCGGCAAGGAACCAAAACTCCATCGGTGACAGAATGGAGAAAAAACCTTGGGAGAAACCAGGCTCAGTCGGGGGGCCAGTTCTCCTCTGACCAGACGAACCAGCAGAACGGAAAAATCAATATAAGACGTAATAAAACAGACGATGAACAATATTAACAGCAATTATTATATGATGCAATCAAACTTATAGCAAAATGTGGTAGTTCTGTATGTTGTTTCAGGGTTGGCATCATCTGAGGTCCTCTGAGGGGTTGGCATCATCTCTTCTCAGGTGTTCTGGATCCAGACTGAAGCTTGTGTAAATCCTAGTTACCACGGGATGTGACAGAGAAACAAATACATTAGCGTACCTGCTGTTCCAACCAAGCAAAAATGATTTGTTTAACCCAAACTAACGAATAATAATGTGCATTTGATTAGATATAACTGCAGTAAAAGATTATGACTGCAGTAAAAGATTATGAGATGCATTATTTGAATGCTTGGCCAAAGAGATGTGTCTTTAATCTAGATTTAAACAGAGAGAGAGTGTCTGAACCCCGAACGGTATCAGGAAGGCTATTCCAGAGTTTGGGAGCCAAATGCGAAAAAGCTCTACCTCCTTTAGTGGACTTTGATATCCTGTGGGAAGCGGTCCTGACACGATGATCGTCGTCGCGGTCGATGTGCGGCGCACCGTCTCGATCAGGCTCCTGAGGCTGACAGCGACAATATGTAGCATGTATGTTTATTTATATATTTATTTATTTTAATTTGATAATATTCCACGGCACACTAGTGGTTGGGAAACACTGTACTACGATATGGAATGTGCTCATTTTAATCTAACTTGTAAGAGTAAGACATTTATGTGTATGAATAGGATATGTATTTACAGCAACATTATTTTCCAAAATGCAAAGTATCTATTTTAAATTTCCTTCAAACAGTTTAGCATAAAAATTTGATGGTTGTGTAGAATATATTTTATATTACTTCAAAAAAAAAGCTTGCAGTACACGTTGCAGTGTAGCAGATGACAATGAGCATCATGAATGGTCAGATTGGGTTTTCCTTGATGACAGCCTCCATATCTACATAGAAAACCAGACTGTGCTCACATTTTCACAAATATACTTTTAGATCATGTACGTTATACACTACAGTTCAAAAGTTTATGGTAAGTTCTTTAAGTTTTTAAGAAATTAACATTTTTAAGAAATTAATTTTATCATGCAAGTATGCATGAAATTGACAGTAAAAGTGACAAAAGTAAAGACATTTATAAAGTTACAAAAGATTTCAGTTTTTATGCTTTTGAACTTTATATTCATCAAAGAATCATAAAAAATATATCATGGTTTACACAAAAGATATTAAGCAGCACAACTGTTTCCAACATTAATAAGAAATGTTTCTTGAGCATTAAATCACCATATTAGAATTATTTCTGATGGATTATGCAACACTGAAGATTGAAGTAATGGCTGCTGAAAATTCAGAGAAGTCAATTACATTTTAAAATATATTAAAATAAAAGCAGTTATTTTAATAATATGATATATCACAATATTACAGTTTTTACTGCATTTTTAATCAAGATTGGATAAATGTAAAGTCTTCTTTCAAAAACATAAAAAATCTTACCAACCTCAAACTTTTGAATGTTTGTGCAACTGTAGGCCAAATTATATATTATTATTAATATATTAATAATACTATATAATAATGATGATAATAATAATTATTATTATTATTATCATCATTATTATTATGATTCATTTGTCCGACATTAACTTTCTTACAATGCAATTCTGAATTTTCACAGAATTGTATATATTTTCATTCTCAAAGATTCTCAACCTGCTTTTATAGCAAATAAGGCACATCATTATTATTTAGCTTTAAATTTTTAAAAATATATTTTCAATCCAAACATAGATAGATAGATAGATAGATAGATAGATAGATAGATAGATAGATAGATAGATAGATAGATAGATAGATAGATAGATAGATTACAGAATTTACATTGATTTAATGTAATTCTGTCACTCTCACAAAAGCAGTAAAAAACAAACCCATTGTTCTTGCACTGTTATTTAATTATTTTGACTTCTTTATGTGGGTCAATACGTGCACCATAACAAGGCATTGCTTTCTTCATATAGCTTCTGAGGCTCTCATCTCTAAGTCCATAAATGAGCGGGCTCAGAATGCGGGGAAGCAGGATGAAGCAGAAATAATAGATAAAAGATATATCTGCTTGAGACAAGTTTACATGCTGGAAAAGTAAGAATTCTGCAACAGGCTGGGAGAAGGCCATCACATTAAGGAGCAACTGGAGCCCATGAAGTGGCACTGTGTGCAGAGCCTTCCTCACTGACACCCGGTCCTTCTGCATCCGGCGGGTCTCCAGCATGATCCGCAGGGCCGTTTCTAGGCATAGGCGAGTTAGGCGGTCGCCTAGGGCGCCACCAGCTGAAGGGACGCCAATGAGCGCACGTACTGGCACTTTTAGCAGGGTTGTGATAAAGAGTGGCATGGTCACCCTGAAATATGACTGCCGCCCCCATTGGATCCCCCAACATTATTGGGCTAGAGTACTGTCAATCTGACGATGCCTGTATGCCACTAGATCAGAGTGCTGTCAATTGCTGCATGCAAAGTTTGCATTTGGAGCGCTCAACAACGCCATTAGATCAGTGGGCTCTGTCAGTGCTTTGGCAAGGTAACACTTTTTTTTGCCATGCAATAAAGCTAAGTTCAAAGGCCAATTTAAAATATTCAGTAAACAAAGTGCACAAAATAAGTATTTTGTTTAGGCAGTATTTGAGGCACTTTTGTCCAAATATTTGTGGCAGATTTGTCCAAAAGGTGTGCGTTTTTTGCGCCAATGCATTGTTAAAAGGATCAGCATGTCATGTAATATTCCCATATAAACTTTAACATCCAATTAAAAAATATTTGTATAGTAAAATTAGCTAATTCACGAGATCAATACATCCTTTATTAGACTGCTTTGTCGAGTTAAATGCATCCTTACGGAGGTGTCGAAATGCTGAATCAATTCATTCACTTCCAACAGCGCTTAATGGGAGCAGCGTCATAGAGGGCAGAGCGTTACCTTATTTAAAGAGGACGTTAACGCATTAACGAGTAGCAAATTATTATGCATTGGTTACTTTTATGCCACTGATAAAGCTTTTATATGTAGTTTGGGGTAACAAAGGGGTTTTATAGGTTTGACTGAAATAATAATGCAATAACTGACACTTTAAATCAATGTTTTTATATAATTGGGCGGGGGGGGGGGGCAATAGGGATTTCGCCTAGGGCATCAAATTGGCTAGAAACGGCCCTGAGGATCCGAATGTACGTGAAGAAGATAACCACAGTGACCACTGCAAAGAAGATCCCATTGAGGCTCACTTTGAACAGAGCCTGAATGTGAGAAGCACTGAGCACAGTGGTTTTGCAGAGCACAGGTGTTGAATGGATGTCTACATTGGGCTTGAGTCGCATCAAGACAAAGTCAACGGTGGGCAGGATGCAACTGATGATCCACATGCTTAGAATGATGATCCAAATCCTTTCAGATCTCCAGATGGCAGGACGGCGAAGAGGGTAGAAAATAGCCACGTAGCGCTCCAATGACATAGTGGAAAGGATGAGTGGGGTGATTAGGTAGCTTTAGCGTTTTAGCTTTATAGCTGGGGTGTTTTAGGTAGTTTAGCAAGGTAGCAGTGGACACAAACAGCAGTGGAGCACAGAAGACGATTGCAAATTGCACACCACCCATTGCTAGCAAGAAAAGGGATACGGAGGAGAGCAGCTGCAGGGTGTCGTTGATCAGCATGTAGGTGAAGAGGATATTATGGGAGCTGTCAAATAACTGCCTGTGAGATGCAAAGGTGTACAGCTTCAGGAGGATGAAGAACAGGAAGGCAATGAAGAACGGAATCACTACACAGACCTTCACAATGACAGAGAGGTTAATGCTGGATGTCGTGTTGCCTGGGAGGTCTGTCAGATTCTGCATGGTTTCAAGCACTCTGCAGAGCTGCTGATGTTACAAAGGCTGAAAGGAAATTTGCAAAAGAAAATGTACTTAGTCTGGAATGTAGTAAATGAGAACAATATAGAATAGCAGTAGTTATCTCAAACATCTAATGTAATGTTCACTGGATTATCAATAGGAGATTCTGCATCTGATCTGATTTCCATTCCATAAACTTTACACTTGTTCACTCACCACACTGCCTCTGTTGGAAGAGAAATTAAAAGAGAATTAGATGGGCAGCCCACTTTTGTACTGCTGAAGATTTGCTTCGTGACAAAGGAATGGGATTTGTTTTCACAAAGGATGGATTAATTTCACGCTATGGACGCAAAGCATCGTTATAGTAATTAACAATCGAACAATCCAAACAAAACAAATTGAGTTGGCTGTAACTTGAAGGATTGTTTGTGAATCAATAGGCAATGTGCCTTTGCAAAAATATTGATAACAATCATATGTATATACTTAAAAAAAATTATCCATATATTGTATACAAGATTTCTTAATCTGGTTAACAAGACCCTATATCAAAACTGTCTTAGAAAAAATAATTACTTTATTTTTCAATTTATTAAATAAGTTATGAGTTATATGTCAATAAATTATTAAATGTATTAAGTTACATGTAATAAAGACATTTTGTAGTAAAGTATTTTTCTTTTTTTTAACGAATCTGTTATATAAGTTTTCAAATATTCACTGCTGGATCAGCACATTCAGAATGTTTGTATGTTTCTTATGGCTAGTCATTAACAGAGCTATCAATTATTGACTGTGAACTGTGGTGCTCTGCCTTATTTGACCATTTTGTTTGTTCTGCAGTGCGGTAGAAAAAGCTGTACTCAGAGACAAAAGTACATTGGCAGCTTGATCTGCAGTGTCATATGCATCACTCATAAGGGTAATGAGACATGTAGCTCACAGCTGCTTGTTTTATGGAGTGCACTGAACTTAAATATGGAGGGAAGAGGGAAACATCGAGCAGCAAAGAGCAAACAACAAGCTTTATGATAAAGAAGATCTGGAGCATTAAGGGGGGTTGAAAGTCTGCATATCCCTGTCTGCATGATTTAGGTCAACAACAAGAATTGCTGCTGCTCTTCAACTATTTACTTGGCTGGAATTTATGTTAATATTAAACTTTGTTATAGTAGCTTGGATATTATATCTTTGCTCATTTTAGTTTTAGCATATATATGTTCTAAATGTAAATCAACTGTCATGTCTTTAAACGTATATAGAGCAATATAGAGCTCTACAATACAATATAGAGCTACCTTTAATGTTATTTTATTTTATTGTTATTTTAATTATTTTATTTTATTTTATCTATCTTTTTTATTGGTGGATTGGGCCTTCCATTCTAACACTGGTAAAATCTCAGGATTAGACATGCATCACAGAAAATAGCTGACCAAATACTCAAAGTCAAATCTTATGCGACTAATTATGTGCTTTAGATGTTGTTAAGAAGGCCAATAGTGGTAAACCACAATTTTGCATATCAGTGTAATTTGTGTTTCCTAATTGTTTGCCAATGATATAACCCGCATATATGTATATGTATGTATATAGGCCTTCCATTCTAACACTGGTAAAATCTCTAAGGATCAGACATGCATCACAGAAAATAGTTTACAAAATCTTCCCAGAGTCAAATCCTATGTGGCTAATTATGTGCTTTAGAGGTTGTTAAGAAAGCCATCAGTGGTAAACCATAACATTGCATTTCAGTGTAATTTGTGTTTCCTAATTGTTTGCAATGATGCAACCCACCTGGCAAGAGGTGGCCATGCTGCCTGATCCCTTCGCACCGAACCAAGCTCCAAAGCAAATGTTTATATAATGATTGTATGCTCTGATTAGACTCCTCCACCACACAGAATGTCTGTTAGAATGATGTAAATATGTTTAATAAACATTGGCCCACAAAAAGTGCAGCAGCCAAGACACCACAATAGTTTTGTGAAACTTTCTTTAAAAAAAGAAAAGTTATGTGATTATAATTTATGGACTTTGTGATACTCATTATCTCTTGAACAAATATAAATTAGTAACGATATTGCTGCATATCCACTTGTGAAAACAAGAAGTCAGCTTCCTCACTCCTTTTATTTAACACACATACACACACACACATATATATACAGTATGTATATATATATATAT